ATTAATATTAATATAATAATATTAGTGATATATGTATATTAGTAATACTATTATATTAATATAAATAATATTAGTATTTATTATATTATAGTATATAATAAAAAAATTAATATATAATACTATATAATAAAATATATAGTATAAAAAATATATATCTATATATTATACTATATTAATTTAGTATTTACTATATTATAGTATAGTATATATATATTAATTATATAATATTAGATATATTATATGATATAATAGATATATATAATATAATATTAGATATATTATATAATATATATATAGAATATTCTACGAAGAAGACATTTTCATATAATGAGTAATGTGCAACAGGGTTTAAAAAACAAAACAAAAAATATAAAGAGTATATATATTTATATATAGTTTAAACAACTCATAATGTGTATATCCGATCGGTCTAAACAATAATACTAATCATTGTTCTAATAACTCTATTTTTTTTTTTTCTTTATATTATTATTTCTCTATTTTACGTGAGATTCTAATTGTCAACTACAAAAGGTTCTGTCGAAATCGTAAATCGAAATAAAAATTAAGGTTGGACAACTAATATTAGAACTGCTAACTGCATTCACCTGCATTATACTTTTAACATATTCTGTCGAATAATATAAAAATAAAAAATATCATTTCCGTTACTGTACAAAGTTCTGTATAATTTGTTAAACTTACAAAAGTGTTCTTTTCTTTTTTTTTTTTGAACGTGATACAAATTGATTGAAACTTAATAAACAAATGAATGATCGTGCAGTTTTGCAAGTATAGTTATCCAACCCCGTTTTTATTGAAATGTAGAAAAGAATTTCGCGTATAATATACGAACCATATACAGAAGAAATTCCATTTTGGTCTCGTGTTTTTCATTTCGTCAGTAGCTGCATATCCTTGATGATATTAAACCTCGTCGTATCAAGTAGAAACTCTATCCGAGTATTTATTATTTAATGTAACTTATTACAGTACGTATATAAACAATAAAAAAAAAATAAACAAAAAATATTTACAGATGCCGTTAAAAACTACTTGTTTTTTTTTTACATTAGAACCTTTTTTTTTATTTGTTTATATTTATATTTTTACCTTAAGTGTTATTTTTATTGTTTTTTTTTTTTTTAGTTACCACGTTTGTTTTTCTTCGTTTATTGAAGAACGAAATGGTTGAAGAGATCTTCTCGTTTCTTAAAATCATCTTCTTTTTATCTACTAATATTAATAAATATATATATATATATTTATGTGTATGTAAATACCCGAATGAATACACTAATAATATCTGTATGTGTATAAAGTGTATGCACAAAATGCATAATACACAATTGACGACAATACACGCGTAAACTGAACCGTAAATTATAAATGTTGGTTGTTGTTTAAAAATTATTTTCTAATATTTTTTTCTTTTTGTTATACATATATAATGCGTATATATGTATGTATATGAATATGGTTAGAATACGCACACACACACACGTAAAATTACACAATGGACACGTAGAAATTTATCCCAGTTGTTTGGTTTTCTTTTTTTTTTTATAATAAAGGAGATGAAAATATATTCAATCGCTGTTCATTTTGAAAAAAAAAAAAACAAAAAAAAAACAAAAAACAAAACTTGATTAAAATACAAAAGAACATTTTCATACAGGTGAATGAAGAAGACATTGAGTTAGTATTTTTTTTTTTTTTTTTATAAAAACGCATGTTTATATGGCTGTAATATATGTTACCATTAATAAAAAAAAAAATAAAAAAAAAAAAACATGAAAAATTCAATTAATTTATGAAAATTAATTTAATAAAAAGTTACTTAGAAATGATTAATAATATTAAACATTGTTTATCAATGTATAAGAAAAAAATAGTAATTGATAAATAGTAGTATTATACAGTAACAAAAGTAGACTTTTATTTTAACAGATCAAATTTCAATCCTATATTTTAATTACACACACCTGTTTTTTTTTTTGGTAAAGAACGGCTCTGTAGTGCGGTGCTAGAGTAACCGATTCGTAACCGCGGTGTCGCGGGTTCGAATCCTGCCAGTCCAAATTATATATTAATGATTTTTTTATTATATATATTTTATAAAGTTTATATATTATATATTTATATTATATCATATAAGATATAATAAGAAATATATAAACAATACAAATTAAATATTATATATATAATAATATATTTATATATATAATATAACATAATATATAAAAAATAATATAAATATATAATAGATAATATAATAATAAGTAAAATATATAAATAATATATATTATATAATATCATATAACATATAATAAGAAATATATAAACAATACAAATTAAATATTATATATATAATAATATATTTATACATATAATATAACATAATATATAAAAAAATAATATAAATATAATTAGATAATATAATAAAGTAAAAAATATAAATAATATATTATATAATATATAATAGAATGTATGAATAATATAAACAAAATATAATCAATATATTATAATAATATAAAAATAACATTCTATATAAAATTTAATATATATATTATTATATACACTATTATAAGATATAATAAAATATACAAATAAATATAATATATAATAAAAATTATACACATAAAACATACATACATATTATAACATAAATATTATAATATATATGTATATTATACATACATAATTTATATTATATACTAACTAAACACTTTTAATTATTTCATATAAAAGAGACTTTCATAAATTAATTGAATTATCCACACTTTAATAATGGTAACATATATGTACATATACATATACTTATATATTTATGTATATATATATAAATATATGTATATATATATTTTGACGGACGCACTAAACAATCACGTATAGAAACGCAATTTAGTTTTGACAGAGCAGGTTAGTACGTAAAGTTAATATATATATATAGTATGATGAGAGTAGTATAGACAGAGCGTTTCATGGACAGAGGCACAATTAGCACACCCATGTTCGACAGGATAGAGCGATACAGTTAGAGATACACACAGACAGTATATTGTATATATATAATATATTATATATATATATTGGGCGTGTATATATGTATACATATGTACATACATCGGCTGTACTGTTATGTTGTTAGTAGTAGTAGTAATAGTAGTAGCAGTAGCAGTAGTACTAGTAGTAGTAATAATAGTAGTAGTAGTAGTAGGAATATTTGTCATGTCATCAGCGATACATATAGAGAGAAACACAAGAAAGCGTCATAGTCCTTGGATAATTTGCGTCTTAAGGGTTAAGTAGGAAGTTAAATCTTGTATAAGAGAGTGAGTAATATATATATGTATATAATATCATAATAATAATAATCATAATCATCATCATCAAACAAAAAAGCAATGGTGCACGAAGAACGAGAGGAAAAGGGAAGAGCAAAAAATTGTATCCAAACGCAAGTCAAATCAAACAACAGAGGGTGGGTTATATAGGAAACAAGGTACTTTAAGGGTGTAAAGTTAAACTGGGAAGCCCAAGTTAAAGATAGAAATCCCCAAAAATAAAACTATATAGGGAAAGAATATAATAAATACATTAATATTTATTTAAAAATAAAATAAATAAATAAATAATGTAATATCGTCGCGTTTGTCCAGTCTGACGAGAAAATTTTATTAATAAAACTTACCCGTCGTGCTTTACTTTGGTACTTGAGTGCTTTTTTGGTGTCCTGCGTAGCCGTTTGAACATAATCGACCGCATGTTCAACGTGATATTCTATACGGTCAATCATCTCACCCTGTTATATAACACAACACAAACATTACAGTCAGTTTTTTTTTTCTTTAGATTGGTTAATCAAAAAAAAAATTTATATAATTTGTACGCAATTTAACCCTTTGCACTCGAGTGGCGCTGATACGGCGCCTGACTGACTGATTTCAAGTCTCTTGTTTACTCTATCTGCTTATTTACGATGTATGATAAGATATTTCTTTCAAGATAATACTTAAGGGGTTGGAAAGGGACTGTAAGGTTTATTCTGATCGTAATACACCTGGTGGTAGCTGGGAAGTAACAAATAATTGTTGTGAAATTTGATTATTTGTATACGTTTGTTTGTTTATAAATGACTTTTAAGATACAAGTTCAAATGTTTCAGTAATTTGGGCCGAAATCGTCGTCGAGTTGTTGTTTAATGCAAGTGAAAAAGGTCTCAAGTGCAAAGGGTTATGGTAAATTTATCATAAAAAATAATTAAATAATCTTACCTGACTTTCCACTAACATGGCCATGTCCATGAACATGTCGTGCAATTCTCTGATTGAGTTTTCAAGTTTTATAATATCAGCGTGACGTGCCTCAATGTCTGCAAGGGTTTGTTTTGCTTGTTGCGTTTCCATGATGATCTAATGATGATGATGATGGTTGTTTTAAAGAAAAAAAAAAAACAACAAAGAACATTGAATAAATATAAAAAAAATATTAACAATTTGTATCTTCAATGAGGAAGAGGATTGCTTGAACAATACTTGATTTATTAATTATTAATAATTACGATTATATTTGTATATATGAGTCGTTTATCTTAAAAGTGGCCTGATTCCATTGCTGGTGAGAAAATGCATATTATTCACTTAATAATTGACACTTATTTGACTGAATTGACTTGACTGACTCACTTAACTGATTTGACTGACTTTACTTGACGGACTTGACTGACTTGACTGACTCAGGATCGAATTGACTGACTTAACTCATTTGACTTGACGGACTGACTTAACTGACTTTACTTGACTGACTTTACTTGACTGAATTTACTTGACTGACTGACTTGACTGACTGACTTAACTCACTGACTTGACTGCCTTGACTTGACTGACTCAATTAGTATTCCTGTTTTTAATTGCATTGAAAGACAAACCTTTCAATATTTCAATTCAAATATAAATGAAGTTAGGCCATTTGCAAAATAAACGACTCATTTAGACAAATGGGAAGTTCTGGGGGGGGGGAGGGAATGGGATAAAAAGGTACAGATAGAATTAATAATACAATGAATTAATTTATCAAAACATACCCCTTGCGTAAATACCGCTGGATTTCCTTGCTCCAACATTTCTTCGAGTTCATCATTGGTGGTCGTCCTCCCCGCTAAAAATGGAAGCCTTTATTGGTCGATGAAAAGAGGGTTGGTTGTAAAGAAGAAAGGGGAGGGCCACAAGTAGAGAAGAAGCTCGTTCTTTTAACGAAACAAACAAAAGTAAAACCCCCAAGAAAAGAAAGAAATACGCGTGCCTGTAATTAACGGTACTTTCAAGATAAACAAAATATTTTTTAATGGAAAAAGAACATGTACGAGTCAAATGAATTCACGTGAGACAATTTACACACATACACATACACACACACATACACATTTGTGTTCATACATTTTAATGTTAATATTATTGATATCAGGCACTTTTATTATTAATCGTTGATTTAATGAAACAATTGAAATGATTTTACTTACTTATTTCAAGCTGTCGTTGTATTCTTCCCTTACACCGTTCCCTATAATCGGTTTGCGTTCGATTATATTCTGACATGACTTCAACGAACTTCCTAGACAAGGTTGAATGTTGTGTCTTGCGTATCCTCAGATCGGCCGACGATTTATTCGTGTGCTCTTCCTGCTCGATATTCTGTTCTATCACTAAATGCAAAAAACACCAAGAAAACGGAGGAGATAGGATGGGAAGAGAAGGGAATTTCAAAAAAAAAGTCCAAAAAAAAAGTGTGTGTGTGTGAGAGAGAGAGAAAGAGAGAAGCACGAGAGATAAAAGGAATAATTTTTTTGTTGATAATTAATTTAATATATATACATATATATATAAAAAAAAAGAAAAAAAATGTAAAAAAAAAAAAAAGATATATTATATTCTCAAATGACATTTTGCAAACAAGACTTACCCTTTAACTTGGCCCTGACTTTGTTAGCAGTTTTCTTGATGTCCGACATCAGGTCTTCCAATTCCATTTTGACCTCTAAATAAAAAAAATAAAAAAATAAAAAAAAACAAGAAAAAAGAAGAATATTAATTATAAAAATTAGAATGGGTCACAATATTTCGTTTTTTTTTTTTTTTTATTAGAAATTATTTATTACACTGTTATTAATATTTATATGTGTCTTATTATATGTTTTATTATTATTTATTGTGTGTTATTAATTTATATATTATATATTAATATATATTAATTATTTACCCTACAAATTAATTTTTGAATTAAACCCATGTCTTTTCTGTTTTTCTTTTTATTTTTTATTGTTTTTCATATCAACCATACATAGATAACAAAACCCATAAGAAATAATCATTTGTCATTTGTAATATTGGTAGTTTAATAATATCATGTAGATATTTAAAATATTAAAGGGAAGAAAAAACTTGTCTAAACTATTTTTATATTACCAGAGAATGTTATTTAAAAAGGTATTCGACTATAACACACTAGAACATACTAGGAAGATCAAGTTTTAATATATCCTTCCATGACCTAACCCTTCTTATATGCGTGAAGAAGAATAAGAGAGACACACAGAGAGAGAGAGTCTCATTCCCTCTCTCTCTCTCTCTTAATACAAAATAAAAATAAAAAAATAAAAAAACCTTCACGCCTACGTACGAGATACACATTTAGCTGACATTTAACCCCTTTAACGTTTAATCAGACAAATATTTCTAATAAAACGTGCTGTTGCTGTTGTTGTTATTTTGTTTATTAGTTGAGATGTGATGTCATGTGATATATCCCGTGGTGACCTCAGAAAATTTCTTTTTTCTTTTTTTTTTTTTTTTAGTGTCATAGAATTAGAAATCGATCCTAAGAGAAGAATCTTCTTCTTCTTCTTCTTCTTCTTGCTAACGTACTTAAAAATTGCAATCTACTTATGTGTTGTTACATAGGATGAATTAAGAATACAATTTGGCAATATGCCAAAAGATAAGAGACCAAGAGCTCATTGTCAGAAATAAAAAGGGCTTAGGACAGTCAAGATGAACAAAGTATTGAGAATAAGATAAGGAGAAAAAGAGAGAGAGAGAGAGAGAGAGAGAAAATTGCTGTAGTATACAGATTTAACATTAACTTTATGTTTTAATCTGTATATTCAAATGCAATATTCAAAAATACAAAATTCAAATTCACTATAAAACTTTTCTTTCGATCTGACGTCATTTTATTAATCAGTTAATTGTGATTGACGTGTATACTCGTCATTAGACAAAATCGCTTATACTCATCATGAATGTTTTTGATCGATTTTGTTTAATGACGTGTATACTCGTCCTGGATAAGGGACTTTGTCTAATGACGAGTATACACGTCATGCGTATCAAAGTAACGAACAACTGGCCATTTAAATTGTAATTTAAAAAAAAAAAAAAAAAACAAAACGTATTATCAAATTTCACGATGTTTAGAATATTTTGAGCCAATGACGGAATAAAACGAACAAATAAAAAATATAAATAATTTGAGATGAACTTCATGCGTGTTCCTTCCCCCGTATGCACCGGGCTGCAACAGCTTAACAGTTCGCATAACGAATTGATTTGTGTGCAATGATAACGTTTCTTTTTTTTTTTTAGATGTTAGCCTAAAAAGGGCGGCAAAGGTAAAAGTCAGAAGGTTGATTTATAATTAGGGTTCATTCAGGTATGGGTCCAGTCATGAAGTGAAATTCGTGACACCGGACCAGGTGTAAATATTCTATGCATAATATTGAATTTTTGATCGTGTTTTTAGTTTAACATTGTATGTAATATATGTTTGTGTTAATCAAATAAGTGTAAATATTAGTTAATAAAATAGTCAATTTGATAAAATAAACTTCATCTTGTTACGATCCAATATCTTAACAGTTGCAAGTTACTCTGTAATTGACGAGTATAGACGTCATGAGCTCGATTCTGGTGACACAAAACGGTTGCGCGTACTCAAACGAGGACACCACAGTTAAACTGGTTAAATTATATCATATTTGTTCTTCTAATAATAATAATAATAATAATATGTTTATTTTGAAAACAATTTGTTTGATGTATTTGTTGTATATTTCAACAACGAATAGAAAGTTGTGTGAAGCCTTAGGGCCACGATGAAGCCCTAATCAGATTATCCTACCAACAGAGACAGAAATAACATGTGGATTATCTTTTAGAATACTCGAAATATTTTATTGTTGTTCGATCTTTTGATATTTACAAAAAAAACAAAAAAAATGGAAGATTACAAAATAAATCAAAAGTTTCGGATAAATTGATCTTGTGTAATTACATTTAAATAATTATTATTATTATTTTATATTAAATAAAAGAGAGAGAGAGAAAAGAAATAAACAATTGTTGTCTTTGAAATGTATGAATATTGTAGTTTGATTTATTGTTCATTTTTTTGTTGTTCTTCAGGTAACACAGATTATCCAATCGTGTTACAACACCATTTGTTAGAGTTTGAGTAAAATGACGACAAATCGGGGTCGTTTACACGAAACTTTAGTCAAAAACTCTCTCCCACCTGCTGAGAAAGCAACGAACGTACGCCCTTTTCTCTTTCCTCCAACCTTTTTTTGCCCTACCATTCTGAAAGCTCTTCTCGAAACAAGTCGAGAGAGTTTTAGGAAAGGGTGGCTTAGGTGAGTAGGTGGGTAGGTTTTAACCGCAATCGAAATTCAGTGAACTGGAACCCCTTCTAAGAAGTCGACCTCATATATTATCAATAGTCAAGTATTATATGTGCCAATAATCATGAAAGTGATCTAATTATAAGTCAAAATGAATTAAAAAAAAAAATGTTCCTCTAAGTTTATCAGTTATTACGCACAACATTATTATAAACTAAATCAATTCAATGTAATTTAAAATGATATATTGTCAGGGTTTCTTGTTATATTAATTTTTGTAATATTTATTTTAATCTTGTTACCTATGTCGAATAAAATAATTCAATCGAATTTGTTATATTAGGAGAGATTAATTTATCAATTTTAAATTTCAATATTTTATTATAATAAAATTCCACAGATTAAAGTTATTTAATATATATTTTATAATATTATATATATATAATATAGTTTTATATATATTATAAAATAAAAATATATATAATATTAAATTATATTATTTTATATTATATAATATATAAAATTATATTTTACACATATTTATTTTAATATAATTTTATTATATATAATTATTACTTCGGGGTAAACACCCTAAAGGGGTATACTTGAAAAATAAAACTTCTATATATAATTATTATATTAATTATAATAAATTATATTATATATTTTTCTTTTAATATATTATACAATATTTATATATATTGTAATATATATATTATAATATATATAAATAAATTAGTACTAGTAAATTAGTATTAGTATATATATATATATTTATTTGTTTATTTCATCAATTTTTACTATGATCATTCAAACATTTATTACAAGACTTATTGAATTATTTATTCATTTATTTTATTTTATTTTTTTTTTTTTTATTGAAAAAGTTATAAAAGAATATTTTTTCATTTCATTTTAACAAAGTGTGAGAAGAGAGATAGAGAGAGAGAGAGACAGACAGAGATTTCCTTTCTCTCTTGGGACTAATGAAGCAGTTTCAAGCGATAAAGTAGATAATATAGAATAGTCGATGGGAGTATGCGATGGGGATTTGAGGATGGTAGCTTATCTAGGGCAAATTAAATGGGTCGTGTTACCGGAACAAAGGTTAAAACCATGAATTCGTATCGACCATTACTACTACTACTACTACTTCTACTACAACTACTACTATTGTACTATTACTACTACTATTTATTACGATAGAATTTCATTGATATATTTCATGAATAAAGGATGACCAAAATACGAGACTTAGAAAACACGATATAGGGTTTTTTTTCTTTTTCTCTCTCTCCCCCTTTCTTTTACTCCCCTTTCTCAGCCCTTCACAATATCAGGAAACTTTATACACCCCCTTATCTTTATCTCCATTCATCAAATCAAAACTAGAAGAGGGGTAGAGCTTTCTCTTCATCCCTCTACCCCTAAAGAAGAAGAAAAAAAGAGAAGCCAAAGTAGGAAATCTTAAAATACACTTCTTCTTCTTTCTCTGTGTGTGTGTGTGTGTATATATATTTGGGTTTGTATTTGTGTGTTGAACGATAATCCGATTTATTCTTTATCACTATCACTATCTCTCTCTCTCTCTCTCTCTCTCTCTCTCTCTTTCTTTCTTTCCTTTTTATTTTTTGTTATCTCGTTTTAAAGGACCATCAAGAATATTTCCACTCGATTTATTCGTATACAAAATCCACTTATTCATCTTTCAAGGAAACCAATTGGCAAACGAAACGAGAACGATCAAATATCTAGAACGAAATCATTTGTATCGTTTAAATATCTTCTTTTTTTTTTTTTTTTTTTTTTTAAAACCTTTGTAAGAATTTGTAAAAGTAATGGATATAATATTAATTCAATTGAAATGAATATTTTATTATAAAGTAATAATATAAGAATACCT